ACCTCCAGCTTTTCTTTGATATATGCTTTGAAGCGGTCGAGTAGTACTGTGTCATCGCCGGTGTAGAGCAGGTCGGCGACGAGGAGAATGAACTTCCCGCGCGATTCCTTCGCGTACATGCCTTGGTCGTGCGGCAGCTGGGTGAAGTCGAGTTCGATGAGGACATTGTGTAGGTACTGCTGCCACAGACGAGGTCCTTGCTTGACGCCGTAGAGTGACCTCTGGAGGAGGCAGATGGCGCCGTCACTTTCTTCGAAGGCGTGCGGCTGCTCGACGAAAATAATGGCGTCGACGATTGTGTACAAGAACGTGTTGGAGACGTCGATCTGCCGGAGCGGGAGCTGCTTGACGGCTGCGATGTAGATGAGGATGCGCACCGAGGTGTGCCATCCGTCCGGTGCAAAGGTTTGGTCGTAATCTACCATGTGAGTTTGCTCGAAGCCGCGCACCACCCATCTCGCCTTGTACTTGTCGATTGATTCGTCCGCAAGCGTTTTAATTCGTAACACCCATTTGCCGCTTAGCATCTTTCTCCCTTTTGCAGATGAGCGGGCAACCAGCTTCCAGGTTCCACGGCGCTTGAGTGCTGCTACTTCAGCCGCCATGGCTGCCCTCCACTTCTCACTGCCGGGGCAAGACAGGGCCTGGCGCACGGTGGTGGGTTCCTTGGGTGAGAGTTGGCGAACATCTACTGCGAGGCTAAGGACGCGAAGTCCATTTTCGTTGGTGGTGGAGTAGGCGAGGCGATCGTAGTTGTGGATACTGGTTACTTCGACGACGTCTTTGTCGATGTCGTTGCCGTTGCCGTTGCGGATGGTGTCCTGCGAGAGATTCAGTGGTGGTAACCAGGCATTCGGAGGTCGGTGTACTGTGCTGTTGTGGGCTTCGCGAGTTGTATCATCAGGATCGAAGTGCGAAACAGGAATGAACGTCGGGGTTTGGAATGGGCTTATAAGGGGGATGTGCGGATAATGTGTGTAGGCTGAGACGTCTGCTGCATCTTCCGCCACATCAGCTTCGTCGTGTGCGTAGGCGAAGCTGTGGTGTCTTGCGAAAATTGTTTCCGGTGCCTTGTCAGCTTCGCGGTGTTCCTTGAAGAGTGGCAGAGTCAGCTTCTCGTAGAAGATGCAGTCACGTAACGTCGTCACTTCGTGTGTTGCGTAGTCGAGCACGATCCAAGCCTTGAACTCCTTTTCGATCCCCAGATGAATGCCCCACCGTGCTCGGTCAGTATATTTTCCTGTTCTCCCTGTGTGGGGTCTGTACTGTACCATGCAGCCAAACACTCGGAGTAGACGCGTATCAGCCTTTCTGCCCATCCAAGCCTTGTAAGGTGAGCTGTTGTTCTCGAGGCTTCGGGATGACAGCAAGTTGTGCAGCCGAACAGCGTGGTTCATCGCGAACGGCCAAAACCTGGTTGGGATGGCCGACTGCTTCATGAGGGCTCTCATCCTCGTGGCGAGACTCCTGTTTGTCCGTTCTGCTACTCCTTGCTGCTCGTGAGCGTATGGCAGGGACACCAGATGCTCGAGCCCCTTCTTGGCCAAGAGTTCCTTGAACTCGTTGGAGAAGTACTCTAAACCCCCGTTGGTTTGAAAGATCTTTAGCTTCAGTCATGCTTGCCGCTCCACCCGTTTCATCCAAGCAATGAAGCAGTCGAAGGCGCGTGAGCGGTAGTCGATGTTGATGGCCCAGACGTAGCGCGTGCTGGCGTCGATGAACGTCATGGTGTTCTGTTCGCCATCAAGCCCTTTTTGGCTCAGAATCATGAAGTCGCTGTACACTTTCTCGAGCGGCCGATATCGTTCGTAGCCTGGAGGTAAGTCCGGGAAGGGCTTGTGAGATATTGACGCGGTTGGGCAGACGATGCACGGGGGGTCCTCTGATGTCACCTTGACTGTGTCGTCGCCGGGCATTAGTAATCCGCTTGTGTCGAAGATTTCGACTTCGATGGAGTTCTTGAGTGTGGCGTGCGATGGATGTCTGAGTCGTTGATTCCAGATTTCGGGAGTGGCGCGATAGCCGACCGCTCTTTTGTAATATTTATTTCTTTCCTCTTCCTCTTGCTGTGGTGTTGCAGGTCCTTCGTCGACGGCGGCGCGAAAGTCGGCGAATGCTAGAGTGGATGCTTGGTGAAGATCAGCGTTGGAGATGTCGATGACGTCGTCTGAGTCAGCGACGCGAATTGAATCGTCAGACTGTTGATTTGGGAGTGGCGCTGCTTCTGGCCCCTCGGAAGCAGGGAGTCCTTCCATTTGGAACTCGGTGGTAGAGGTATTCGTCGCCGGTGACTGAGATCAGTTGAGGTCCTTCTTCCGGCGGCGGCGGCTCCTCGGTAGGTTCCGGTAACTCTGTTGCTTCTCCAAAATCGTATATCATTCCTTCTGACCCCTCTCATTCTTCTTCTGCAGGTTCGTAAGGATATTGATCCGGAAGAGGAGGTCCGCCCCAGCTGGTGCCTCGCGTCGCCCAATATGGATCTATTTCGGCAACAGCTTCGGGAGGAAGTCGTGGAGCTTCAAGATATACCCATTCGTCGCGAGAAGTGGAAGTTCCCCATCCATCTTCAGCGGGAACACCTGGTGGACGCGATGGCGGACCCCAGCCTTCTACAGTTGCTGGCGGGGATTCGACTTGTCCCCATGCTCCTATCATGACGCTGGGGTTCCTGTAGCTCCCCAGCCTCCAGTGTTGACTTGTGGTGCCGTTGCTTCCTCCGCTGACAGTCTGCTTTGTGCTTCTTCTTCCATGGATGTAGGTCCGGTGTCTCCGAGAGTAGAAGTCGAGGCAGTTGGGACGGCGCGTGAGTGAAGAAGGTCGTCTGGTCCAGGGCGCTCAAGGTCCATTTCTTCAGGATGCGACCAAGTTGGTATCTCTGTAGGTGTCGTTTTCAAGATGATAAAGTTGATATAACCAAGGAATGGAAGGATTAGGATAAGATCAGCTAAGTTCAGAAGAAGACTAGGAAGTCTTGAAAGGATTTTGTTATAATAAGTTGAAAAGTAAACAAGATAATAAAGATAGAGATACAAGGAGTTTAAATAGCATCCTAGCTAGCCATGTACTCTGAGGGGTGCGGACATAACTCTAGCAACGGGAGCTAGACTACGGGCTAGGCACGGGGTAGGAGGGATCTCCGCTTTCGTTCCTTAGTCGTTTGCTTGTGCTTGCACTACTCGCTGATTCACGGGGGAAGTTGGCAAGGGTTTCACTAGCAAAAGTTCACAACAATAATACAATCAGAGTTGGAGAGTCTGACTACATCAAATACAAGCATGCCTAGCACAAGACAAGTCGACCTCCAGCATCAATTGCCAGCTTGGCGGCCTGAGGCTCCCACGAGCGGCCTCAGGCGCCCATGTGTGCACGCGCGCGCACCTACTTTGCAGGTGCCAGGTGACGGTTGAGTACGACGTGATCCGCCACGAACGTTGCGCAGGTGCCAAGTCGATCACGTGTCGACGGTTGCACCTGTGGAGCCATGTCGACCTCGGGATACCGAACCGTAGGTCGACTTTGCCAAATCCTCCTGGGCGATGTTCGCGCACCTCGCAGAACCCCGTCGCCCGGGTAACCTGGTCGACCAGGCAACCATGTCGACCAGCTGCTTCGCCTCATGCCCGTCGACCGCCCAGGTCAACGTCCACCTCCAGTCGACCACACCAAGTCGACCAACACCCTTGGTCGACCAGCTCCAGGTCGACCAGCCCAGCAGTCAGCCGACCACACCAAGTCGGCTGCCCCAAGTCGGCGTCCCCAAGTTGACGCCTTCCACAGGTCGACCTCCCAAGGCCGACCACCTGATCTCAGCGCCCTCCAAAGTCGGCGCCACCGCAGTGACCCCCGTGCAGGTCGACCAGCCCGCCCACTGCTACAGGTCGGCTGCACCTCCCGCACACCCGACCACGAGGTCGGCTCCGCCCAAGCGAGGACGGGGCCAACACAACTCCCGTTGACAAGGGGTATACTCTCTTATTAACTGTATTGCATTGCTACAGTAACCGCGACTATTGCTACACTCGACAGTTACCAGGTTGCATCGCGTAACCTCTGCGTATGGTTACTGGGTGGTCAACAGTCGCGGCCTTTGGCTTCCAGTGACTGTTGAACTTCGCGTGGCTCTTTAACTTCCGCTTTATCTATATGAGCTATCGCGGTACTTGGTACAGCTGCGTTGCTTCGTTACGAAACGATGCGTTAAGGGAGAACCTTTGGGAATGTTTACAATAACCTGTCGGTTATTCCAACAGATAACAATACTCATTAAGGCAATGCTCAATATTGTTTTGTGTACATACAATTCCTTTCTAGAGGCTGCATTAGAAAGAAAGAAAGAAAGAAAGAAAAAACAATCAATGCAGTGGCCCTTAGGGACCACCATCGATTGGAAAATGGTAGCGTAGTTTGTGTTCTTGTTTGATAGTACAAAAATCTTGTTATCGAATCTCTGGAGAAATAATACGTTAAACTAGTATGGGGTTGCTATGGGAAAGGCTTGTAAGAAAAGGTACCTACATTGTTCAGTATTCCTGTATGAATTTGGACCTTCCCTTTCGCAGTCTGTGGTAGAGACACCTGAAAAACAACACCCTGATACCTTCGTATGGTGTTGGAAAGATAGCTGTGCCTTGGGATGGGATGTAACTTACTGGAAGACACTATGAAGCAGTCATAACATATGAATCCACGTGTGAATAATATAGATCTGCTTCAGCTTACCACACAAGACGTTTTCAAGCATTGGTTGTGCATGTTTGTCATTGTGATACGAAGCCTCACCTAAATTCTTTACAGATACCCAAGCATCCCTTTCCCGGTGGTAGCCTTGGGCTTCTCACCCAACTCTTTGGGTGTTATCCGTTAGCCCTTCCTCATGCCTTGTCAATGATACAAGCAAGCACAAAAATATGGCCCCTCGCAACACTCATCAATGATGCCACACAAAACCTATTTTTCCAGGATTAGAAAAGCTAAACGAAGCAGCCAGAGCTGCAGTGCTCCTAAGCTACATCATCGGCTGCAGCACCTGCTGCTTGCACACCTTCTACAGTGACCCCCTTTGAAGCCACACCCTCCACAGTCACACCATTAGGAGCCACACCCCCCACAGTCACGCCCTCCACAGTCATACCCTCCACAGTTACACCCTCCACAGTCATACCCTGCAGTCATCCATCAAGCGGCATTATGTCCTCCAGTATCCAAGCGTCCACCCCAGCATTGCCTGACTCAGAAGACGCAGCAGCAGCAACCTCCTCCATGTGACTCAGCACCACATTCCACTCTGCATCCCCTTCCACCACTTCCTCTCCTTCCTTCCTTGACTTCCCCCCACGCTCCCTTTCCTCCCCTGTCTCTTCAGACTGCCCTGCCAGCTTCCTGTCCCCGGCACACCCAAATTCATCTGCGTGTAGTGGCATCCTGTTATGGTGACCATTTGGGAAATCGTTTGAGAAGTCATTTGGGAACTCAGGCTCGTCTCCGATCAGCTCTGCCCGGTCATCTTCTCCTCCTGCGCCCAGTGCCACTTCCAGAGCATCCCCAATCACCACTGCCAGATTGCTTGCCCCTCCCGTTACCGGTCCCTCTTCCAGAGCATCCCCGAACAGCAAACGCTCTCCATCTGCCATCACCGAACCATCAGGGCTATTCCCAATCAGAAGTGCCAGATTGCTTGCTCCTGCCGTGACCCGTGCCTCTTCCAGAGAATCCCCAAGCAGCAATAGCTCTCCATATGCAACTTCTGGGGCATTAGGGGCATCCCGAATCAACGCCGTTTGATCCACCGCTCCCCCCATTACGATTTCCTGCTCTTGCAGCAAACGCTTTCCACGTGCGATCTCTGGAGCTACAGGGGGGGCAAGCTGGGTGCCAAGAGCCGTGATCTTATGGTTGGCAGGAGAAGGGTAAGCTGGTTCAGCAAAATCACATGCCCATGCTGCTCTGTTGGAATACCCTGCAGGTACACATGCACTCTCTCTTGAGTCGAGGGCCATCAAGCATGTCTTCCCTGCGTCTTCACACACACTTTCGCTTGAAATCAAATTCATGAAGCATCCACGCGCATAATGGTCCTCATCCTTTCTTCCATCCTTCCTACCATCCTCCCCTCCATCATTGTCCTCCCCACTCCCCTCCGCACTCCTCTCCTCAGCTTCTTCTCTGCCCTGCTCTTGATACCGCTTCTCCTTCCAATTCACACTCCTCGCAGAACCCGGCTCCCCTTTTGATACTGATCCATTCATGCTGACATTGCAAGACCCTTCCCATACTGGTGCATCATTTCTAGGGCATGACGACCCTTCCCCACCCACACCACCATGGCACATCCCACCCACATTTCCATCATCCTTATCAACGTTTACACCTCGTTTTGAGGGCTTTCTCCTTACAGCCGTCTCCCTGTCACAATCCCTCTCTCCACCCTTGCCCGCCTGCTCCTCAGGCAGTGGAAAAATCGTCTTTGCCCGGGGCCCGCGGAGCTCCCGAGCAGCTTGGTCGAATGCATGGGCAGCAGCTTCAGGAGTGGAAAATGTTCCGAGCCACTTGCGCATGTTGTTGGCTGTGTCCTCTATTTCCGCCACCCATTGGCCTGCCTTTCTCTGCCGCACTCCGCGGTATTTGGGGAAAGGAGTAGAGGGAGGTGGGGACTTGCGCTTCTGCTGCTTCCACTGTTTTTGCTGCTGCTGCTGTTGCTGCTTCTGCTGTTGCTGCAGCTGCTGTTGCTGGGTTTGCTGGTCTTGGGGCTGCAATGCAGTCTGTTCCTCTGCTGCTGCTGCTGCTGCCGCTGCTTGCTCTTTCTTTTCAGCTCCCTGCGACAGTCGTGATCTTCGTCTCCTAGAAGTATTAGAAGGTGTCTTAGCACTGTTATAGTCACAATAGGCTTGAATGTGCCTAAAACGAAAGATAGAGAGCACAGACGGATTTCTGCACAGCGGCTTCAAACGTTGATAGCGTTCTGCTCACAGCTGCAAATGACTTGATTCAAATTGGATCTGGAGCGTCTTCACGTCGTCTACAATTAGCAATTTAGATTGCACGATTTGATAAAGAATTGACGACACAACGTCGGTTTGAACGAACGGTACTATGGCAGCCACTATAGTCTTAGAACACAAGATAGGAAGAGTTACGAGTTGGGAATGACTCCCAGCTCCTACAAACCCCAAGAGCCGAGGTACAGTGATGTGGAACAGTGCCACACTGTCCCCAACCACGAAGGGTCTCGAAACTACCCTTCACTAGGGCCTACACCAAGTGAAATGTTACACTACACAAAGTAATGTAACTATCTTCAATATCTTGAGGTGTACCCTTTTTGGCGAGCTTCGAAATCACTTGAGGCTTGACACCAAGGCTCGGGCTCTTCATCACAAACTCATCCTTGAGTTCTTGATGGGTCTGCTGCACACACCTGCGACACGCCGAACGTTCGACACAGGACAAAATAGAAACCGCGCACGACAAAATAGAAACCGCGCGCGAGACACAAACGACCGCGTAACACGCGTCTAGCGATAACTCGCTATTGACTCGACACACACACTCGACATCATGACTCAACATTCACACACAATTATAAGCATGAAATATATATTATCCCATGCCCTCATACCATTCCATACACACACACATTCACGCACACGGACAACAAGCCGAGTGCAAACCGTAGGGTTGCACCAACAAACTCCCCCTCGGATTGTTGGCCTTAGGATATGTTGCTCTCTCAGTTCAGAGCCATCCCAGCCAGCTTGCAACACTTCCAATGCTGCTGCTCCACCAGCCTCTTGGTCATCATGTCAGCCGGCTGCCCCGTGGTCTTCACGTAGCGCAACTCAACTTCACCCGCGGTTACCATGCTCCTCGTCCAATGCCACTTCACCCTCATGTGCTTCGTGAGTCCATGCAACACAGGGTTCTTAGCAAGAGCAATGGCACCCTGGCTGTCACAGTACACTGGGGTAGGTCCTTGCTGCTCCTCCCCCAATTCAGCCAAAAAATGCCGCTGCCACACAATCTCCCGTACGGCACGGAAGAGTGCCATGTACTCGGACTCCACCGAGCTCAAAGCTTGGTCAACCTGCTTCTTGCTCTCCCAAGCAGTTGGGCCTCCACCAACACAGCATATGAAGCCTCCCACACTTGTCATGTCCTCTGGTTCTGATGCATATGAAGCATCCGAGTAGGCGGTGAGGAACAAACGCCCGGGTTCAACACCATCCGCGCCCTTTTGGCGCCTTTGTGCCGCCGCCGAGTATTGCAGCCCAACGGTCGGTGTTTGGCCAAGATACTTGGCCACCCTCATTCCAGCTGCTACCTGCTCCTCATTAGGGCATTGCACAACCCTAGCCAGCTGCCCGGTAGCAAACGCGACGTCCGGTCGGGTGTTTACCGCCGCATACATGAGGCTGCCCACCAACGAGTGAAATCGGCGCCTCTCCTCTTCACCAACGCTCTCCTCCTCTGGTCCCTTCACACACTTGAACCCAGAGGGAAAGGGTGTAGCCACATGGCCTTCACTCTGCCCAAAGTTGGCAGCCAATGCCTCCAGGTACTTTCGTTGATGCACCCGCATGCACCGCTTCTCCACATCTCGTTCGATGTGGAGCCCAAGGTAGAAGCTCACGTCACCAAGGGCCTTGCACTTGAACTTGTCTTGAAGCTTCAGCATCACCTCCTTCACAAGGTCAGAAGAGGGTGAGAAAATGAGGATGTCATCCACATAAACCACCATGAAACTCCTCTGCTCCCCCTCGCCAAGCATGAACAAGGAGTGATCGGCCGTTGAGGGAGTGAAGCCGATCCCCTCCAACACTTCGCGCAGCTTCATGTACCATTGCCTAGGGGCCTGCTTCAGCCCATAGAGGGCCTTCTTCAGCTTCCACACTCTGCCACTACCATCATCAAACCCCTCTGGCTGCGCCATAAAAATCTCCTCCTCAAGGATGCCGTTAAGGAATGCCGTTACGATGTCCATTTGCTTTACTACCCATCCTTTGATGGCGGCTCCCGCGAATAGGGTTCGCAGCGTCGTCGGCTTCACCACAGGGGCAAACAGCTCCTTGAAGTCCACCTTCTCCTTCTGCTGGTACCCCTTGGCTACAAGCCTAGACTTGTAGCGCTCGATCTTGCCGTCGGCATCCGACTTGATTTTGAAGAGCCACTTGGACGTTATCGCCGTACGCCCCTCCGGTAGCTCCACCAATTCAAACGTGTCATTCTCCTCGATGCTCTTCAGCTCACTCTCCATGGCCTTCTTCCACTCCTCAGCATCACTACTCTCCAAAGCCTCCTTGAGAGTTGCTGGTTCTCCCGGCATCTCCACCGGAGAGAAGAACGCGAAGGCACACTCCTCGTAGTCACTCTCCTCGTCGTCTCCGACCATCATTGCCGCTCCGGCCAGGGCTGTCTTGCCCTGCTTTCCCGGCGCATCATAGGTCAGCCTATTAGGGGGTTGAACTCTCCTCTTCCCCCTTCCTTCCTCCTCAGCTGCAGGGACTTGAGGGCCTTGGCGTTGCTGCGGTGTGGCTCGAATCCGTGGAGCACTCGTAGTACGGGAAGGGAGTGACGGTGCACGCTCGCTCACTTGCTGCACCTCCTCCTCTTCTTCCTCTGCATCATTGGCCTCCTCTCCCCCATTCACAAGGGAGGATTGCCTTGTGGTTGTGCTGCCGCTGCTCAGCTCCAAAGGCAGCTCCACATGCTCCAAACCGGAACTCTTCACCTCCCCAAACCGCACGCCTATCTTCGCCTCATTCTCCGCCTTCCAATCCTTGTACATGAAGTTCTCCATGAACTTGCAGTCCCTGCTCACCAAGAACTTCTTGGTGAATGGGTCCCAAAGAAGCCATCCCTTGCTGTTTTGAGCCATGCCCAAGTGCACGGCCCACACCGCCTTGGCACCAAGCTTGTTGTGCCGAAGATGCTTAGGCACGAGCGCCATGCACATGCACCCGAACACCCGAAGCATATCCACCTTTGGCTTCCTTCCTAGCCACTCCACATAGGGCACCCATTTGTCTGCTCCCACATGAGTCAAGGCTCTGTTCTTGGCCACACACGCGCTCCGCACCGCATCAGGCCAGAAATAGTCGGGTAGCCCGGCTTCAATGAGCAACCCGCGTGCCGCCTCCGTGATTGTGCGGTTCGCTCGCTCGGCGATGCCGTTCATTGCAGGGGAGTATGGCATGGTGAGGGAGTGCCGAATACCATTCTTCTTCAGCCACAACCCAAACTCCTTGCTCAGGAACTCTCCCCCTCGATCGGTGCGGATTGACTTGACTAGACGGTCTTGTTGCCGCTCCACCATCGGAAACCAATCCGTCTTCAACGTTTCAGCCACGTCGCTCTTCTTGGCCAGCACGTACACCCAAGTCATGCGGGTGTAGACGTCGACAATGGTGAGAAAATACTCAGCTCCAGCAGCTCCAAGCTTCAGGGGGCCCACCACGTCCATCACCACCTCATCAAGCGGTGCCTTTGCCGTTGCTTCCGAACTAGGGAACGGAAACCGGGTGAACTTGGCTTGAATGCACGTCGGGCAGCCAAGCACCTCATCGGGCTCCCCCTTCACACGTATGCCAGCAACCATCTCATTCTTCACTAGCTGCTGCAAGATGGGCAGGGCCACATGCCCCATGCGCCGATGCAAGGTGAGCCAATCACACTCCCCCGTAGCCGAAGTTGGATTGGAGAATGTCGCGCTCGCAATAGCGCCCCACATACTCTCTCCGTAGTCCTCCTCCGCTGCTGCCTCTGGGTTCTCCTCACCCTTTTGCTGCTCCTTGGTTGCTGCACCACTCTCCTTAGGTTCACTAAACTTGCTGGTCCCTCCAGGTTTGCTCTTCTTGAGCTCATTCTCCTTAGCGCGGCCGTTCGCGCCATCGTCGTTACCGACCTCTCCATCCTTGGTGCTGATGCTTGCTGCCACTTGCCTCTCCTTAGGCATAGGGACCACTGGGATCTGCCACATCTCGTTGTAGACATCCCTGTCCTCATGAAGGTCCCAAAGAATTCGATCGCCAAGCCTTGCGGTGTAGGTCTTGGCTCCCTTCGAGTTCGTGTCCATGCCGGCCTTTGCCAACCGCCGCACGGAAATCAGGTTTGCAGCAAGGCTGGGCACCCAAAGCACGTTCTTGAGGCCCACCATCTTCCCATCAGCACCCTTGAACATGGCCTTGCCCATGCCTTTCACCTCTGCTCGCTGCCCCAAAGCCGATGTGACATGCTTCACCGGTGACGGCTCGAGTTCGGTGAGCAAGTCCGGGCGAGGTGTCATGCTATAGGTAGCGCCACTATCAATCACCCAATAGTCCAGGGGGTGTAGGGTCACCTTCCCCACAGCTGCTGGCTCCTCAAAGCCTTCATCCTTCTCTGGACCAGCCGGTACTTGCGTCGACACGAAGTAGAATAGACCCGGGTATCGATCGTCGCTCGGGTCCTTGTCGTTGTCTCCGCTCTTCATGTTTGCAGCTCCGCCACCGCGACCGCCACGGCCTCCACGGCCTCGTCCTCTCCCTCCTCCTGCTCCTCTACCCTCTTGGCCTTGAGCAGG